AGACCGGGGCTAGTTGGCCGCAGGGGTAAGTTGACGAATTGCGTTTATCTTTAAAGCCTTTCATCAGAAAGTGATAAAAATTACACAGAATCTTCCTAATTGACTGTTTCATCATTCAATGTAGTATTGTCAGGATTCGCGCATGCGCATGGGAGATATTAAGATTTAAGTGTTTTTTGGACAAAAACGTAACTTTTGAAACATCGCTTCCTTTTTACTTTACAAAGAAAATAGTTAGTCAAATGGAAAAAAAATTATTGTAAAAGTTCTAGCCACAATTGGTTTACTATATTCAGTTTGACTTTTTTTAAAAGTTGCCGTTTTTCAGGATCTATAGACTGTTTATTGAAAAAAAAGCCTTCGGGGTAAGTTGACAAAATTTTTACGGGGTAAGTTGGCTCATAGCATTTACTATGGAGAAAAATATTTATTTTTATAAAAATAATTTTTTTAATTTTTTTAATTTTTAACAATATTGAAAAAACTTATTCTTACAAAAAAATTATAAAAATTTTTTTTTTAGGTTTTTTGTAACAGGTAAAAAGAGGGCTGCTGTTTTGGCTGTTATACGTACTAATATTTAGCACAAGCTAAAAATAATATCAAATTATTAGCTTAAATTGTTGCCAAAATTAATAGGTAAAAAATTTCTATTAATTTTGCACTTAATAGTACATTAATAATCACGTTTATAGTTTGCGTCAACTTACCCCGTGGTGGGGTAAGTTGGCGCAATTTTTTTTTTTTTTTTGAGGGCCCCGTAAGGCCCCAAGAATTTTTTTTTGTAAATCCATGAAACTTTTATAAGTTACCCAAGTTCATACGCTTTGAGACTACACTTTAATATTTTCAAAAAAGTGTGCTATTAGGGCTACAGAGCTCATAGAGTAAAAACCGAGCCAACTAGCCCCGGTCTCCCCTACACTTGAAGGGAAATTGTTGTGTGTATCCAGGATTTCTGATACAACTGGGCGAAGTTAGGCAATAGCTACCATAAATGCTGTAAAGGCATGGAAAACTCGAACAAACACTCGTGGGAATAATTTTTGACACAGTTCCATCAAATTCAGGTTAGATAAATAGTTCTGCAAAGTTAATTGAAGAACATTTTAATAAAATGTTACTTTGGTGTGCCTGCTAACACCATATTTTGAAAGAATTTTGTCTTCTGTTTACTTAAATATTTTTGGAGAATTAAGATCTCCAAATTACGAGCCATTTAGACACTTTAAAAATGAGATATGGCCAAAACTTTCATTAACTTCAGATGCTACTTTTAGAAAAATAAAAACTGAAGAGCCAGTATTAAAGACCAAACAAGCAGAGGTAATAATTTTTTTGTCTGATTTACTTAACCGGAAATCTTGAAAATATTAAGATATGATTATTGATAATGTTATGAACTTGCTTTGCAATTACTCAATTTAAAACAAATAAACATCTTGTACACATCAAAAAATTTTGCTTTTGCTGACCTGGTAGAGTATCAAGAAGCTTTTATAGAATAATTATCTAGGTTTTGTAAATTTACTTTACTATTATATGTGAAAATATGGCTTACTTGCACAAGCACAAATGATGCCCTATTTAATGACTTGGAATTCTACAAACAAATGCTTATTTATAAAAAAATTAAAAATGATGCTGCTGTTGCTGCCCTGGAAACATTTAATTGGCATTTTTGGTATTTAACCGAAGAAATGTCCCCACTTTCATTATTTTCTGATAAGGTATCTGATCGTGATAAAACTAAAATTGCTAAAAAAATTTTGAAAAATGTAAATAAAAACTGTGAACATGATATAGGCTTTCCTCAATTTTCTCTTTTGAAGCAGAGTACTTTTTTGACTGATTTAATTGGACCAAAATCAAGCAACATTCTAAATTTATTCAGATATTCAAACGAGGACAAGATTCCCAAAGTTGGCAAAATCCCTAAAGTTTTGGAAAGCTAACACAAATTTTAAACACATGTTTGAGCATATCAAATCACTGAAATCTGAAAAGGATACAGCAGAACGAGCTTTTAAACTAATTCAAGACTATGCAACATCTGTTACGAAAGATGACGAGATGAAAAAATTTCTTTTACGTGCATTAGAACACCACCAAAAAGTTCTTCCTCGTATAAATAAACAAGCAATTCAAAAACTTAATTTTTGAAAATATGTTCTAAACAATCTCTTTTTTAAACCTTTAAAGTATTGTTATTTTGTTTTTATAATTTAATAATTGAGTATTTATCAAATTTTTTGTTTTAATTTAAAACTAAATTTATAAAGTTCCATATTTAGGCGAAAAATAATCATACGACAAGGGTATTATGAGAAAGGATGTGGGAATCATAAACCAAATGACGATTTATTTTTAATAAATTTTTATTTTTATTTATTACAAAACCGTTTGAAATTACAATAATAGTTTTTTATATTGGATATAAATAATAGATAAAAAGGAGTATATTAAGAATTGTTTTGGGGCAAAAACCCATTAAAGGGATTATGAGGGGGTCAAATATGAAATTTTTCTGAAAATAACATATTATTAAGTTTTATTTAAAAAAATTACGCAAGAAAATTATAAAAAATGCAAACATAGTTGATTATCAAAAATAATTTTAGTCCTTTGTGTCATTTTTTAGAAAAAAAAAAACCACTAAAAAGAAAGAGGTGGGGGGGGGGGGGAGGGGAGGGGGAGGGGGGATAAAAATATAAAAAAAATTAATTTTTTTTTTTTGCTTTTAGTAGATGAAAAAAAACAACATGAAAATATAAAAAAAGTTAAAAACTAAAAAAATTCATGTCATTTTGGGACACCCTAATATATATATATATACTAGGTTGGTTGAAAAGTTCGCGTAGCGGAAATGAAAAAACAATTTTATGATTCAAAAAATGACTTTATTCTTCAGTATATTCTCCCTTAAGAGCAATACACTTTTTCCAACGATTCTCCAATTCATGTATCCCATCTCTGAAGTACGATTCCGGAAGGCCTTCAAAATACCCATTTACGGCTGCAATGACTTCTTCATGTGATGAGAAACGCTTTCCACGTAGAAATTTTTTGAGATGTGGAAAGAGGTGGAAGTCGGACGGAGCCAGATCTGGTGAATAGGGTGGATGTTCCAAGCGTTCGTACTTTAATTCGACCAATTTCGCCTTTGCAACATCGCTGATATGAGCAGGTGCGTTGTCCTGGTGATAAATGATTTTTTTATGCAGCAAACCAGGTCTTTTCTCACGAATTTTTTTATCCAACTGGTCCAAAAGATTTTTATAATATTCACCTGTTATCGTTTTACCGGTTTGAAGGTAATCTATTAATAAAATTCCTTTCGCATCCCAAAAAACTGATGCCATAACCTTCTTTGACGATTTTGACGCCTTCACTTGCTTCGGAGCTGAACAACCGGGTTCTGTCCACTCTGCAGTTTGTTGTCGCAGCTTTGGATCATAGTGGTAAACCCAAGTCTCATCCATGGTTACGAATCGACGCACAAAATCTGTTTTATTCTTTTGAAAACGGGCCAAATGTTCTTGAGAAAGTTTTACTCGAGTGCGTTTCTGATCCAGAGTTAGCGAATGCGGCACCCATCTTGCCAACAGCTTTCTCAGACGTAATTCATCGTGCAAGATGTGTAATACCCGTTCATCTGAGATGCCCACAGCCTCAGCAATTTCACGTTTGGTCAATCGTCTATCATCCATAACCATGTCATGCACAGCATTAATCGTTTCTTCAGTAGTAGCACTTTTTGGACGTCCAGAGCGAGGGTCATCTTCAAGGCTTGAACGCCCACGTTGAAACTCCGCAGCCCATTTGCATACTGTTGTTTTTGAAGGAGCATCATCACCCAACACATTTACCATTTCATTATGAATTTCCATGGGCTTTAAACCTTTTTTGACAAAGAATTTTATTACAGCACGATGTTCAATATTTTCCATTTTAAAAAATACTATGACACGTCTAATTTCAATAGCTTGTAAACAAAGACTGAAATGACATATCGACTTGAAATTTTTTATGCGTTCATACGAAGAATGAATACGTTTAATACAGTTATAAATTTGTTTCTACTACTGCAACATAGGTGCCGCTCCGCGAACTTTTCAACCAACCTAGTATATATATATATATATATATATATATATATATATATATATATATATATATATATATATATATATATATATATATATATGTATATACATGTCTACTGTGCGCATGCACTATATAACTATGCATATAATGTTTTGTTTTGACAACTTAGCCATATCACCTTGCATGTTTTAAGTTAGAGAGTTTAAAAAATTCTTTGAATAAACAAAAAAAACTAAATATCCTAATGAATAATAAAATGAATAAAAAATAAACCAGAAAAAAATAGTATAAAATTAATTAATGTTTTTATTTGAATTTAAAGTTGTTTCACTATAAAGACTTTAGAAAAAATCAAAGTTTCAAAGTTTTTTAATTTAAGCTTAATTAGTTTGAAATTTAATTATTTAAAAATTTGACACTTTCATATTTTCTAATGTCTACATAGCAAATAAATCATTAAAAAAAAGTTATCTGTTAGAAGGATTTGAACGCTCATCCAATATCGATATAAGTGTCATGCCTCATTTTCAAAACAACAAAAATATTCAAGTTGTCAAAAAAAAAGTTGTATGCATGGTCATATAAGACATGCAGTTGCACGTGTTTTCTGAGAAAGCTTGATATATAAATATACAGCCTTCAGAATTATAAAAAATGAGGTCAGCAATAATTTGCTGACCTTAATCTGTTAGAGATTGGCGTCAGGTTGGCAAAAAAAACTTTGATATAAAGGTTTTACCATAAAACATAGAAACAAGGTTGGCCATTATTTGACGACCTCAAACACTTCTAGCTCGGTAGTTAGGTTGGCATCGCTGAATACCAACCCTAATTCCAGAGGATGAATATATATAAGCATATATTTATATTGGATCACATTGTTATAACTTTAGGAGTCATCCTTTTAAATGATTACCCAAATGAAAAGTCTCACGATGATAAGTATGTTAGCCAATATATAATACGTACTGTTCAAATGAAACATTCTGGTGAATATACTTGTGTAGCTGCCAACAGAATGGGGAAGACTGCTGTTTCATCAATAATTACTGTTATTGCTGCAAGTAAGCTGTTTTTTAAAGGTTTCATATTTTATTTTTATATATGAACCTAGTTATACTTTATATTTATGTTTTATACTTATGTTTTGTATTTACATATTAACCTGATTATGTTTTATATTAATGTTTTATACTTATGTTTTATATTTATTTTTTAACCTGATAATGTTTTATGTAGTGTTGTATTAAAATAATACGCAACTC